GAACACAAAAGGCAGAGGTGACTGAGCACACGGGTAAAATCCATATAGCACCAGAGGAGAGATGAGATGGTGACTGCTTGTGGGTAGCTGAGGATGTCATGCCCATTAGAGTGCCCTGCTGCTCATCTTTCTAGTATGCACAGCTGGAAGGACACGAGAGAAGCTCCAGCTTCCAGAGCCCCAGGGCTGCAAGAAAGTTATGGCGTGATTGTGCTAGCAAAGGACTGGGCTGAGCAGCACAAGATGACTTTGCTTGGCCTATATGTATTGGGTTGCTGTCTGGGAAGTGTCTTGAGCAAGTGTCTCTGGTGCAGACGTATTGTAATTTCTGCAGTATGGACAATAGGACCTCTCGTGCAAGCAGATCATGGCATCTCCTTTTGGGCAGGCATTTCAGAGCATCTGCAGTACAGAGGTACCATAGCATCTACACTTGTCATCTGTAGCACAGGTGTGCCAGTCAGCATCTGCAGTGCAGGTGTACTGTAACGCCTACAGAAGATACCTGCAGTGCAGGTGTACCGTAGCATCTACAGTTGACCCATGCAGTGACAGGCGTACTGTAGCATCTGCAGTACCAGTGTGAAAGGGACAAAGCCTTTGCAACACACTTGGCAAAGCTGGAGCAGATGCATGGGGAGGAAATGAGTTAATGGAGCTTTTTTTCTTTCCTAGATCACCACTTTAGAGACAAACCCTGGTAATAGCAGAGCAGATGGGAAATTTCCCATTAGGAAATGTCTGTTTTCTGTCTGAATCCATGATCCTCTTCTCTCCTTATCAGGATCAGGACTGTCCTCATCCCATGATGTCACACCAGTGGCTGTCGCATCACTGTGCCCCTTCCATCCTGCTTGCAGGGAACACACTGGTCTTGTCTTCAGACAGTTATCTGTGGATCCACATAGACTGATCCTATTCAGCAAAAAATAATTACTAACAATATATTTGATCTAGACTGCAGTGGTAGCAGGCAGAGGTGAACACGTTCGTGTCCACGTTGAATTGTCTTCTCCTGCTAAGACTGATCATGACAGATCTCCTCATTGCCCCTGTAGCAAAGCAGCCAAGAGCTGAACAGGACCTGGGACCTTGCCAGACACTGCCACGGGACGTGGGGTGTTGCAGATGCTGAACATTTATGTGTGCTGAAGGGAACCAGGACAAGTCCATAGCATAAAAACCCACCAAAAACACAGAAAAATATGCATAGTGGTAGCATATGTTTAGAGTCTGGGCGAGCCTGTGAGGTGTCTAACACTTCTGCTCTCTACTTACCCTATCCCTAAACATGTGCATGAGTCTGTGGCTGGAAGCAAGCCTGGGTCTGATGCCATGGTGTACATGCGTGTGGAGGAGTACACTGTTGAGCAGCCTCCTCCAAACGTGGGTGCAACCACAGCCGTGTTCACAGAGACCTGACACTGCTGCTCCGGAGAGAGCAGTGGCGTAAACTGAGGCTGCAGGTCCTGCCTGCCTCCATGTGGGTGAGCTCACATGGGGTGCAGGAAGACAAACTTTCTCTCCACTTCTGACCAAGGGCTGTTGATTCAGTTCATTTCTTCCATTTTTTTCGCCACTGTTGGTATAAGTGCATCCATATATGTGCATTAGAAGTAGTAGTGGTAGGAAAAGCTGTGCGTGATTTATTCCTGATGCTCTAATGAAATGGAAGAAACCTCACTGGAAGAGCAGCTTGTGCAGCATTGTTATTCAGATCTCTGGTCTGAGGAGATTCAGGGATGGTTTAGTCAAATATCGAAGGTCTCTCAGGCTTGGACTCCCAGCTGTGCATAGTTCTTCTTTCGCCTCGACAGCCAAGAATGATTCACTCCTGGGGCAAAAGCAAATATTGTCCAAACTCTTTTCTGCAGCAGATTGAGTTTTCCACTCCTGAGTTTGCTGTGTAATAAATGCAGTTCCCCACCATCACCTTTCAAATGTTCCCTGCCAAAACAGGGACATGGCCCTGGGACCTGCATATTCTAACACTGCTGGTGAAACACTGCTCACTGTCCCGTGCATCTGTGTGCCAGGATATTGCCTTTTGTTAGCAAAATCATTAAACAAGCAACTACAGTAAATGGAAATTTGCATCAGAAGCATCTGCAGAAATTGTGGAGGTTTTGTTATGTGCTTGGAAAAAGAAGCGGCTTTGGGCAAAACAGTCAAACAAAGCAAATACTGCATGGGAAATTGTGATTCAAGTGAGAGAAGAAAACAAAAAGTTGGTTTTCTGTCTAGATTTTTCACACTAAAATAGCTTTGGTTCCTGCCTGGCAGCAGGGGTTATGTCTGAAAAAAAAAATGGAGTTTTGTGGAGAGGAAAGCATCCGAGATATGAGGTCTCTGTGCCAGGACTCCCAAAGGAGCTAGGCCATGGACTTTACCCCTCTGTATTTCCACCTGTAGGCCCAAAGCAGGCCCCTCCTCCTCCTCTTCCTCCAGCTGTAGCCTTGGGTCATCAGTGCTTTGGGGCCGGCACCGTCCCCAGGTGACTCTGGCCACGGATGAGGCTGGCAGGCACTCAGCGAGACACAGCAGTGATTATTTTAATGACTGAGAAGACGAGAAGCAGCAGGGGAGGGAAGGTGGCTTTGCTCTTGGGACTATGACAGCGAGAGCACGACAGCCAGCGATGTTATTGGTACTGATGGGAGCCGACTTAAGGCCACAGTGCACGGAGCTCACGCTTCGGAGAGCAGCCTGATTGCCTGGGGAGCCAGAGGGACTTCACAGCGCCCGTCCTTCACGATGCACAGCTGGATGCCATCTGCAAGGGCATGTGGACATCCTTCCACCTGGCTCCTGGGGGCAATTGCTTCCCTGGCCACTGAAGACTCATGGAAATGACTGGAGCAGAGCCTGAGTGCACAAGGAGTGGCGGGGAAGATGGTCTTGGGGTGGCTCATGCCACAGGATGGTCAGCTCTGGGAGAAGAGGACTGATCCTCTTCCCCAGCAGCTCCCAGCAGAGGAGTGAGCTGTGGCTTGGTCCCCTGTACCCTCACGCTGAGTCCGGAACAGAGTGTGGAGCCTACCCTTTGGATCCATATGGGAGCGAGTCCTTGTCCTAATCCATTTCCAAGCAGCTCCAATGCCATGGCTTTTAGGAAATATTTAGTGAAAAATTAGTATCATCAGAGAGTCAGTGCTAGCAGTTACGCTCTTGCTTGTGCTCCAGCTGTGCAGGCACATGTCTCTGCCAGGCCTGCAGCTCCTGCTGCTCTCCAGGCTGCTTGGCAGCTCTGTATTTCAGTATTGCCCAGGGATTTGTAGTTTTGCCATAGCTCTGCAGGTGTCCTGCACCCAGGCATTGTGGTGGACGTAGTGTGACTCTGAGCAGAGGGGTCCTGGGCAGTGACACTGGGCACAGATTTGCAGCCACCCCTCTCTTAGACAGTCCGAGATGGTGTGGAAGCAGGGCAAAGCTTGTCCTGTCTTCCTGGGTCAGAGCTGAGCAAAGTCTCTGCTGGGCAAGGGCCATACTTAGGCCATGCAGTTTGTCTACGGTCTGGGGGAGCACAGGACCTTAACATAACACTGTCTGTCTGCCCTGAGCTATCCCACAGCTCCGGGGCTGACTCAAGTATTTGTGGCCATATAAGGGTGGGAGGGATTTGGGAAGCCCCTCTTTAAACTGCCTATGTTTGATGGAGAATCAAGTCTGGCGCATTTTCTATCAGGACAGCCAAAGATTCCTCCTTGTAGCAGAAATGCCCTCGCATGTTGAAAAAAGAGTGGGAGAGAGGAAGTGGTATGAACGATAACGACGTTATAATTAGCACTTAGCACTCATCACCCAGGGCTTCCAAAGGAAGGTCACCTCTGCTATTGCTGTTTAGCTGGCAGGGAAACTGAGGAATGGAGGGGAGGCAGGAAGAGCAATTTGCATGGTCACCAGGATGGTGTGGGCCCGGAGCAGAGTCTGGGCTGTAAATTCAG